CTGGAACCTGGAGGCTGCTGATGGGAGCTGGAGCCTGGAGGCTGCTGGAGGCCCTGCGGGGCCAGCCCGCACCAGATCTGGTGCCCCAGGAGCCAGCCCAGCCCCGTTCCATCGCTCCCCGAGCGGGGCCCGGCAGGGAGCCCGCAGCATCCCGGGCTCAGCTGCGGAGAGAGGCGGGGCCGGGCTGGCTCCTGGCAGCGGGATCGGGACGGGAGCAGAGGAGCGCGGGAGGGGCCCCGGGGGAGCCGCGGGTGCAGGCGGGGCAAGGAGGGATGCGGGAGGTGCGGAGGGATCGGGGTGCAGAGGGATGCAGGGTGTGCAGGGATGCGGGGTGCAGAGGGATGCGGGGTGCAGGGATGCGGGGTGCAGAGGGATGGGGGTGCGGAGGGATGCGGGGTACACGGAGGGATGCGGGGTGCGGAGGGATGCGGGATGCAGAGGGATGCGGGAGGTGCGGAGGGGTGCAGAGGGATGCAGGAGGCGCAGGGATGGGGGGCACGGAGGGATGCGGGGGGCACGGAGGGATGGGGGGTGCGGAGGGATGCGGGAGGTGCAGAGGGATCAGGGTGCGGAGGGATGGGGGGTGCGGAGGGATGCGGGAGGTGCAGAGGGATGCGGGGTGCTGGAGGGGCTGTGCGAGCCCTGTGGCCTGCACGTGCCGCTCGTGTGCCCGCACGTGTGCGCGTGAGGGATGCGCTCCCCGGGCGTGCGGTGCCCATGAGCTCCTTGGGCCAGTGTTGGTTTCTCATCGGTGCCATGGCAATGGGAGCCCGGCTCCTCGGCACCACCTGAGCCCGCGGCCGCGGCCTGCAAACTGGGCCCATCTGCGGCTCCCTGCCGTGGGCTGCACATCAGCCGGGCACCAGTGCCCATCCCTGGGCTCTGCCGGCCTCAGGGAACCCGGGGGGGACAAAACCCCCAGCGCTCATGGAAGGAGATGGGAGCAGGAGGCTCTCCAGGAGGCGAACAGCGGGGAGGTCTGGGAGGGATGCGTCTGTGTGGGATGGGGATGCAGGGATTTCAGGGCAGGGAGTTCAGTGAGGACAAACCAGAGCAGAGGTTAAGAGGAGGACTCAGAATCAGAGAAGAGAGGCAGAGACCAGTTCTAACCCACCAAAGGGATCCCTGTTTCATGGTTCAACAGGGGATGGGTGTTTCACAGCGATGCCTCTGTATTCTGGGTACCACTTTCTTCTCTTTCCTCCCCAAACTTTGCTACAGGTGAATTCTACAGCAGCTCCCAAGCAGGACCCATGGGGTAGCTGCTGCTGCTGTAGAGCCTGTCTGGGAGCAGCCACCAGCACTCGCCCACCCCACACATGAGCCCAGGGACCCCATGCAAGCTGCTTGCCCATGGCCACACGCACCCACACCACGGCTGCGGGGCTGCCCATCACTGGGAGCCACCGGGAGAGCTCAGCCCCATCCTTGCCTTGGCTGCTCCTCATCCCGCCCCAGCGCAGGGACTTGCCTCTCTGCCCCTCTCCCCTTCCCACACCCACTCCCAGCTCCATCCCTCCTTATGAAATATGCACAGGGAACAGATGTCGCCTTCTCCCCGAGCACCCTCCCTCCCTCCCAGCCCACCACCTCCATCCACCCTCCAGGACCACATCCAACCTCCACCTCCCTCCTCTCCCGGGGGCTCCAACCTCCTGCACAGCCAATGGCATCCCCTCTCTTGGCTTTAATATTTATGAGGGGGGGAGCAGCGGAGCGGCCAATGAGGCAGCCGGGGTCGGACCCGGCCTGCGAGGCTGGGGTGTATAAATAGCGATGGGGCACATGCCTCCTTGGGGTGCCCATCTCCATGCACCGCGGCCCGCTCCTGCCCAAGGGGTAGCATGCCTGGGCCCCGAGGCTTCTTGGGGGGCTCTCCCTGACCCCCCAAGTCCATCCCAGGGAGCAGCACCCGGTGCGCACGCAGGGAAACTTCCTGCCTCCTCAATGGACGGATGAGCCAAGCGGTTCCTCCCTGCCTGGATTACCTGGAGCTCCATCCTAGAAGGGGGAAGCTGGAGCCTGGGAATGGTCGTCGGCCTGGGGGTAAGGTGGCTGTCCTGGCACGGGGTGGCAGTGCTCTGGGGGTGGCTGCCAGGTTTGGTGCTGCTGCAATGGGAATGGGGTGCGTGGGGAGGAGCAGCGTGGTCCATGCGGGAAGATCCACGGGGAAGGGGCTCAACTTTGGGGTGAGGTTTAATGCACAAACCTGCATCAGGGTGCATCCTCTGCTTTGGGCTTGGTGATGGGGTGGGGGATTTCTGATGAGGAGAAAGAGAAGGAAGATCCATTGGGATGGCCTGGGAGTGGGTCCCAGACAGACTTTACATGGCCAGGGAGGCTTCAGACACCGTCACTGGGGTTTTGCTGGAGGCAGGGCTGTTCAGTGCAGGTTTAAAAGAGCTTCTTGTGATGGGTGGATGCGGGAAGGTGGCACTTTACACCTCTGAAGGAAAGTGATGAAGAACCGCTCAGAGCACACATCACCCATGCAAAGGAAAAGCGCTTTGAGGGCTGGCCCAAGCCAGTGCAGGAGGGCTGGGATACGGAGCTCACCTGGGGCCGGTCCTGAGACTTGGCTCCATGCAGACGCTCTGGTTGGTCCCTGCCAACATCCAGCATCAACCGAGCCCCCCGCGGGGCTGCTGCCCTCTGTGTTGGAGGCACCTCCAGTTCACCCCCAGGATCCCGAGGCAGCACCAACAGCGTCGCTGCCCCACAGCCTCTGCAGAGGAGGAGGAGGGTGAAGTGCCCCACGTGTGCCCGGGGCTGGTGCCCTCGGAGGGGTGGGAGATGGGTGCTTGTCCCCTTCCTGTGCTGCAGCACGAGAGCAGAACAGGCCGGTTGGTTCGGGAGCGGCAGCGCTGGGGTAGGAGGGAGGTGGAAGTGAGTGCAGGCGGTGCCAGGGCTCTAACGCATCCCCATGAGCAGCGGGGGCAGAGTGCATCCTACAGCTGCAAGCGTGATCCTGGATGTCCACGCACTGATGCTGGAGGTGCAGACCCATCAGGGGTCAACCCAGAGCCAAGCTCCCCTCTGCCTCCACACTGCAGCCCCTCCGGAGCTATTCCTGTGGCTGGGGCAGCATCCCTGCCCTGCTGGGCATCACCCATGGGCACGCTGCTCCTGAGGGCTGCAGGAGGGGGCTGCATCCGGGAGGAGGTGCTGGGGCTGTGGGAAGGGGACGGGAGCAGAAGGGGAAAAGACGGAAGGGGGACAGAGGAGGTTAAACCAGGTGCAGGAGTCACGGATGCAGGAACGGCTGCAGCAGAGGGGGCTGATTCAGGAACCCCTTGGTCGTGGTGCTTGGTCCCTGGTTTGTCCTCCCCCGACGGCAGGGGCAGAAGCTGAACACAAACCTCAGCTGTGCCCTGAGGACAGTGCGGTTTATGGCGAGCTCAAAGCCTTGTGGATCCCGAGTGCGGCGTTCCCAAAAGCTCCAGGCTGCCTAAACTTCTTGTTTAGGATTTGGGCCTTTTCCTTTAATGCTGGCAGTGGTTTTTGTTATAGGAAACCAGCCCAGGGGAGTTTCTTTGGTGAAAACTGGATATCGTGGTGCAATGGTGAGCACCAATGATGAGCATGGGTGTGTGTGTGTGTGTGTGTGTGTGTGCGCAGGGATGCCCGACTCGGGGCAGATTTACAAGGGAGTGTAAATTCTTGCTCCTGAATGGATGTGGGATGCTCCCAGTGGAGTTTTTCCATGGGAACATTTGCACGTATGTGCCGGGGAACGTACATGTGTACGTGTGTACATGTGTACATGTGTACATATGTACATGTGTACGTGTGGATGTGTGGATGTGTACCCGTGCGTTTGTTGAAGCGTGCAAAGAAGCAGCCCCGTACATTATGGGGTGCTCAGGGGGGGATGCGCAGTCATTTCTATGCAGTTTTATGGGGTTCCTTTCTGCAAACACCCCACACACACTTTTAAAGCGGGATATGGACGATTCCTCCCCGTCCGTTTCGCTCCCGTGTCTCAGTCCTATGGCTCAAGACAAGCCTGCCAGGCCCAAGAGGGGGAATGTGCCGTACATCTCTGCCTGGCTGCCTTCCCAGCCACGCTGCCAGCGCTTCCCCATCGGAAGTTGGTTCCCGCTCCCCTTCCCCTGCCCGGGGGGGATCGCCTGCAGCAGGACCTGCTTTTCCCAGAGCTGCTCCCAGTGCTGGAGCTGGGGGGGAAGGCAGCGAGGGGGAGGAGAAGGGAGAGGAGAGGCAGATTTGGCACCCGGAGGGAGCGGGAGCCAGCGTCTGTTTGGACACATCAAGCGAAGCAGCTGTGTTGGGTTCCATATGTCGGGGGTGCCAGGCTCCGTGACATACGGGCTCATTTAGCGTACAATGAGCCCCCCCTGCCTCTCGCCCCTGCGGTCTGGTTTCCCCATTGCTCATCCACCACCTGGCATCCCTCCGGAGAGGCAGGAGAACGGCTCCCACCTCCTCCCAGGGCCGCTCCACCGGCTCCTTTCCACCCTCCGTGACCGGGATCCCGGAGCCGATCCCAGGATGGGGTCCATCAGGGACCGAGGCTGCAGGGCAAGGGGAGCAAAGAGCCGGGTTCAATCCTTGCCGCCCTCGCACTGAGAGCCCTTGTGCTTCTGTTTCCTAGAGCACGCAGGAGGCCGGCTCTGACCCCGACAGCTCCAGAACTGGGTCCTGCCCCAGCTGCGAGGGAAGAGCCCGCGATCTCTGAGCTCATACAGGGGATATTTCCCTATCTATCTGTTTATTTTATATGCCTCCTGCTATCGTTCACCCATTATTTATAGCGGACGGTGTCGCCCACCCCTCGAGTTTTCCAGGAAAAAGGGAAAAACTCAAAATTCCCTTGCGGAGACTGTGATGAGGATGAAGAGGAGGAGAATAACCAGGAGCTTGCTGTGAGCCGGAGACCTCTCATCGAAGCAGAGCAGCTCTGCTCCAGCGTCGTGCTTGGGTCAGCCCGTCCTGCCGCCGCCCCGGAGCATCCACCCGTGTGCCCCCCCTTCCTCACAGCGATGATGCTCAACTCGGACCAGACAGAGCTCGACCTGGCCCCGACGCACTCCGAGTCCGAGTCCGTCTTCAGCGACTGCGGTGGGGCCCACCCGGGCAGCACCGAGGACGCCGGCGCCGTCGCTTTGTGCGCTGCATCCCGCATGGAGCCGGGGGAAGCGGTGAAGAAGGAGCTGCAGCACCTGAGCCGGGAGGAGCGCCGGCGGCGGCGCCGCGCCACGGCCAAGTACCGCACGGCGCACGCCACGCGGGAGCGCATCCGTGTCGAAGCCTTCAACATGGCCTTTGCGGAGCTGCGGAAGCTGCTGCCCACGCTGCCGCCGGACAAGAAGCTCTCCAAGATCGAGATCCTGCGCCTGGCCATCTGCTACATCTCCTACCTGAACCATGTGCTGGATGTCTGAGCCTCCTGCCTCAACATGTGCTGCCCATCCCAGCCAAGGGCTCCAGTCCCTCTGTCCACTTCGACCCGAACCACACATCAGGCATCCAAAGCGCTGTGCCTGTGTCCATCCATCTGTTCCAATGGACCACGTCCCCAGCTGCCTGCTCTACCCCCTCTCCAAACCATGTCCTGTGTTTCCCCACCACCAAGCCCAAGTCCGTCTGTCTTTCCATCCTGCTTGAGCCAGGCTGGGTGTTTGGTCCATCACCATCTGTCTGGCCTGCTGGATCTGCTGCCTGCAGCCTGGGCTGGCCATGCCTGCTTCCAGCTTCTGTCCATCCTTCTGCTGCGCATCCCACCCGTACTGCCTGCTGCATCCTGACTGCGTCCGTCTGCCCGCCCCGTCTGCTCCCTGACCCACACACACAGGAGCCACTGGGCCCCAGCCTCTCTGTGGCACCTTTATTACGAGCCACGAAGAACTGGACCTGTGAAACGCTGCAGCACCGCAAGCCCCAGGGGCTTGTCCATCCCTCTGTGTGCCCCAGGGGCTTGTCCATCCCTCTGTGTGCCCCAGGGGCTTGTCCATCCCTCTGTCTGCCCCAGGGGCTTGTCCATCCCTCTGTCTGCCCCAGGCTCCCACCCCTCTGTGTGCCCCAGGGGCTTGTCCATCCCTCTGTGTGCTCCAGGGGCTTGTCCATCCCTCTGTCTGCCCCAGGGGCTTGTCCATCCCTCTGTGTGCCCCAGGGGCTTGCCCATCCCTCTGTGTGCCCCAGGGGCTTGTCCATCCCTCTGTGTGCCCCAGGGGCTTGTCCACCCCTCTGTGTGCCCCAGGGGCTTGTCCATCCCTCTGTGTGCCCCAGGGGCTTGTCCATCCCTCTGTGTGCCCCAGGGGCTTGCCCATCCCTCTGTGTGCCCCAGGGGCTTGTCCATCCCTCTGTCTGCCCCAGGGGCTTGCCCATCCCTCTGTGTGCCCCAGGGGCTCTGTCCATCCCTCTGTCTGCCCCAGGGGCTCGTCCACCCCTCTGTGTGCCCCAGGGGCTTGTCCATCCCTCTGTGTGCCCCAGGGGCTTGTCCATCCCTCTGTGTGCCCCAGGGGCTTGTCCATCCCTCTGTGTGCCCCAGGGGCTTGTCCATCCCTCTGTCTGCCCCACCGGCTTGTCCATCCCTCTGTCTGCCCCAGGGGCTCGTCCACCCCTCTGTGTGCCCCAGGGGCTTGTCCATCCCTCTGTGTGCCCCAGGGGCTTGTCCATCCCTCTGTGTGCCCCAGGGGCTTGTCCATCCCTCTGTGTGCCCCAGGGGCTTGTCCATCCCTCTGTCTGCCCCACCGGCTTGTCCATCCCTCTGTCTGCCCCAGGGGCTCGTCCATCCCTCTGTGTGCCCCAGGGGCTTGTCCATCCCTCTGTGTGCCCCAGGGGCTTGTCCATCCCTCTGTGTGCCCCAGGGGCTTGTCCATCCCTCTGTGTGCCCCAGGGGCTTGTCCATCCCTCTGTGTGCCCCAGGGGCTTGTCCATCCCTCTGTGTGCCCCAGGGGCTTGCCCATCCCTCTGTGTGCTCCAGGGGCTTGTCCATCCCTCTGTGTGCCCCAGGGGCTCGTCCATCCCTCTGTGTGCCCCAGGGGCTTGTCCATCCCTCTGTGTGCCCCAGGGGCTCGTCCACCCCTCTGTGTGCCCCAGGGGCTTGCCCATCCCTCTGTGTGCCCCAGGGGCTTGTCCATCCCTCTGTGTGCCCCAGGGGCTTGCCCATCCCTCTGTGTGCCCCAGGGGCTTGTCCATCCCTCTGTCTGCCCCAGGGGCTTGCCCATCCCTCTGTGTGCCCCAGGGGCTCGTCCATCCCTCTGTCTGCCCCAGGGGCTCGTCCACCCCTCTGTGTGCCCCAGGGGCTTGCCCATCCCTCTGTGTGCCCCAGGGGCTCGTCCACCCCTCTGTGTGCCCCAGGGGCTTGCCCATCCCTCTGTGTGCCCCAGGGGCTTGCCCATCCCTCTGTGTGCCCCAGGGGCTTCTCCATCCCTCTGTGTGCCCCAGGGGCTTGCCCATCCCTCTGTCTGCACCTGCTCCCACCAACCACCCCCCAGCACAGCCTCCATGGGCACTTTGTTTGCTGCTGTCCTGCCCCTGGGCATGGCGCTGGGCACGGGAAGGACCACGTCAGGAGGAGCCAGCACCATCAGACAGCCCCAGGAGCACCCTCAGGTGCAGAGCAGCTCCCCGGCTTTTCACACCCCATAAGGATGTGCTTCAGCCCTGGCAGGACCTGGATGCCAGCCATGGAGATGGAGCTCAGAGGGATGCTCACTGAGCTGCCTGCGGGGTGCCGGAGCCAGCACCCGGGGGCTCCCCAAGCCCCTCCATTGCACATGGGGTCTCCCCAGGGCTCCCCACATCCAAGCATCCCAAGCTTTGCTGCCCATCCCTTTTGCACTAGTGCACAGTGAGTGTGAACCCCCCCCCCCGGTCTGGCCCCATGGCACCGATAGGCACAACCACCCCAGGGCACCAGCACTTCATCCCCTCCCACTCTTCCTCTGTCTCCCATTCAGTGCCCTGGTGAATAAGGCTTGGGGGGGGGGGGGGGTGTCACAAGCACAGCACAGGGGACACAAAGAGGCTTCAGCCCTGGGTGCCAGGGCCCCCCCATTTACACCAGCGTGGCCCCGGTGCAGGGTGACCTCCCCCAGGCTGGGGTAAATGCACTTTACCTGCGGCCGGCAGGGCCGTGGGGATGGAGAGGGGAGGGAGCAGGCACGGCCCCAGCCCCGGCTTCCAGCAGCCGGGATTCACCCCGGTCCCTCCCCGTCGTGGATCCGCACTTTGGGAGCGGGAAGGGAGGAGGGAGCCCAGGAGCCTTTTCTCCAGCAGGGGCAGGCTGAGGCGGGGGGGGCTCGCTGCAGAGGGGATGCTTTGCCTTGCTTCGGTGGGGGCTCCCTTGGTTCAAGGGTTCATTTCGCACGGGCAGGGGAAGATCCCCTGGCTCCATCCCACCGGGTGCTGCCAGCTCCGCCCCTCGTTCCCCTCTCCCCATGGAAGCGGGGAATATTCGCTACCTCTGTCTCCCAAGGACTCACCGGTGCAGGGGGGATCCCGCAGGGATCAAGCAGCGCATCCCAGAGCCGGCCCCCCCATCCCTGCATCGCAAGGCAGCGGCCGAGCAAAGCCAGCGCGGGGCAGCCCCCCCCTTCCCCTCCGCTCCCCAGCCCCGCCTCTGTGCCACGAGGATATTTATTGAATTAATTTATTGATAAATGTTATTATTATTTATTTGCTGCTTTGTGCACTTTGGGGAAAGGGGACCCAGAAAACGGACCAAGAACCCAGAGCCGGAAGGGCCAGGGTGGAAAACCCTCCTCCGTGTGTGCCCTGTTCGTCCTGGCTGCTCAGCTGAGCAAGGGCTCAGTATTGAGGAGGTCACAAGGAAGCTGGGGAGGGGGAAATGAATTAAACTGCAGCAAAAGAGGGGTCTTGAACCCGGAGCGCCCGGCCTGCCCTTTGCTTTCTCTTTAATGCTGGTTTTACCCATCCCTTGCGCTGCTCAGCACCAGGGGTGATGGATTCCCCATGCGTGGCTGTGGAAGGAGGTGGTGGGAGGGAGGGCATCACCCGGGGACCCAGGATGGGTCCTCTTGGTGCAGCAGATCCGGGTTCGCTCCACATCTGTGGCTTTCCCCCACTCCACAGCCCCAGCTTGAGCCCAGTTTGGATTTGCTGGGATAAACGGACCCGGAGCATCCCGGTCCCCCTGTGACAGCAGCAGGATGGGGACATCTGCTCCAGCCGTCAGCATCCCCAACCCCACCCCATAAATCACCTTCTCCATCCCATGTCCCCCCTGGGAAACCAGCGCCGCCCCCGATGTCACCCACAGCTTCCTGGGGTCCCCCAGCCCTCTCCCTGCTCCCCCAGCCCATCCCGAGCCCTGCTGGGAAGCAAGTTTGGAGCCCGTGTCCTTTGTCTGCGCGGCTGCGGAGCATCCCCAGGGGCCGCTGCAGCTGCTCCGCCGCTTGCTCCAAGTTTCTGCCTCTAATCAATTGGCCTCGGCTCAGCAGAGCCTCAAAGGGAGAGGACGAGCAGGGGGAGGGAGAAGGGAAGGATGACGGGGACTTTGCACCGAGCAGTAGCTCCAATGGGGCACGGAAAGGGACCTCAGCGCTCCCAGGTTCCCTTTAGGTCCCAGCACAGGGGTTTCTCCCCAGTGATCACCCCTTGGGATGCCCCGTGTCCCCGCTGCCTGCATCCAGACCCAGCCTCCACAGAGGGATGCTCATGCTGGGCGGGCATCTCCATCCCATCTCTATCCCGTCTCCATCCCACCTCCATCCCGTCTCCACCCCATCTCCATCCCACCTCCATCCCGTCTCCATCCCGTCTCCATCCCATCTCCATCCCGTCTCCATCCTCTCTCGGGGAGGTGGGAATGGGATAGGGCAGTGCAAGCTCCGAGCAGCAGCTCCCAAACCTCCCCAGGGCCCGTTGTTCCCGGCTGCCGGCCCCGGCCTTGACATATGGTCCTCATTGTGCCTCGCACAATGGAAACACTTCATGCTAATTCAGATGCTGGTTCTGGCCTTGCTGTCATCTCCGACAGATTGGGTCCCTCGCCTGCTCTTTGTGCTTGGGGGCAGGCAGGGAACAGGCAGCTCAGCTTCTGCTCTGCCCGACTCCCACTTCCCAGCTCCTTTCCTATTCCCATTCCTTCCCTCTCTCTCCTTCCCCATCACATCTCCGTCTTCCCGTCCTTCTCAAGGCCTCCAGAGGACACCAATCCCAGTGCACAAGGAACGTTTCCCAGCGGAAAAACAGAACCCATGGAAAACAGACCCATGGGATCCCAGCAAGGTTTGGGTTGGGAGCGACCTGAAAGCTCATCTAAAGCCACGGGCAGGGACCCCTTCCACTGGAGCAGGATGCTCCCAGCCCCTGTGTCCAGCCTGGCCTTGAGCCCTGCCAGGGATGGGGATGCTCCATCAGCTCCTCCCTGTGCTTTCAGACACGCAGGGAGCAGAACAGCTCCGCTGCTCCCGCC